CCAACCATAAAATTACTTTCTTTATAATAATACAACACAATTGTACATATTTTGCTACTGTTCTGAATCCTAATGTAAATATCTGATATGCAGGATATCTCTGATATGCGACCCCTGTGTTGAGAACCCTCGGTCTGGAGAGATGGCTCAGTGGTTAAGAACACTCACTGTCTGTTCTTCCAGAGGACCTGGGTTTGATTTCCAGCACCCACTTGGCAGCTCACAACTGGCTGTAATTCCAGTGCCAGGGATCCAGTATTGTTCTCTGACCTCCATGGATACCAGGCACTTAGATGATACTCATACACACATGCAGGCAAAAAATGAACACATGAAATAAACGTAAAAATTTTTTAAAAATGTGACACTACACCCAACTTCTGGCACCTTTTTAAAAACTATAGGTTCTGAGACTCAAACTCGGGTGCACGTGTTTGAAGATGAATACCATACTCCTTCTCGCTCTCCTCCATCCTCCCCATCCTCTCCCCTCACCTCCCTTCCTTCATTTCACCTCTCCTTGCTACCACTACATTGGTTGGCAAGATGTCACTTCAGTGGGACTGTGATTTGCTCTCTTACTATCTCTCTGGATGTGGTGGTTTGAAAGGAAATGGCCTTCAAAGGGAGTGGCCTTGTTGGAGTAGGTGTGGCTTTGTTGGATGAAGGTGTTGGGGGGAAGCCCAAAGACTTCCTCAAAAGGTCTCATTTCTCAAACTTCATCAGTGTGACAGTCAGTCAACTTCCTGCTGCCTTCTGGTCAAGATGTAGCCAGCAGCATGTCTGCCTGCATGATGCTACAGTGCTCCCTGTCATGATGATAATGGACTGAACCTCTGAAACTGTAAGCCTCCACCTCAACTAAATGTTTTCTTTGTAAGAGTTGCTGTGGTCATAGTGTTATCTTCACAGCGATAAAAACCCTAACTAGATACTAGGTGAACAGGGGGAACAGTTTAGACAGGGAGAGCCTCAGCCCCTGGCTCTTGTTTCAGTCCGAGAGCCTCTCCTGCTTTCTCTCCCAGGCTGCAGGGCAGTCCCTGATGTTCAGAGCATGGTGGATGTGAGCACAGAAGGCGACAATGAGCTACTTAGTGTGTGAACCCCACATGCTCTCCTTAAGGGAAGGACATGTGTGACATCTGGAGCGCTGTGCATACTCAGACCAGGTGTCAGAAGCTGACAGAGCTAATGAGAAGGCTTGCCGTGTTCTGAAGCGGTGTGGGATGTATCTGGTGGTTGCTGCTCAGAAAGGGATGCTCCTGGCCTCAGGAGAGTAGAAGCCAGAGCACCCAGAATCTGAGTTCCCTCCCAGCACAGTGCTGCCCACCTCACTAGGTTTTGTTTTTATTCTTTGGTTGGGTTTTTCATGACAGGGTTTCTCTAGAACTTGCTCTGTAGACCAGGCTAGCTTCAGAGATCTGCCTGCCTCTGCCTCTCAAGTGTTGCTATTAAAGGTGTGCGCCAGCATGCCCACCTTCACCTCACTATTGATAGTGCACAATGAGAGTCTTGGTTTGCATCAGAAGCTAGGGCAGCTGCTGCTACGTAGACTTGAACAAAGGTGGGAGAATTCACACATCAGTCCAATGTGGGTAGTGCAGTGGGGGATGCACCTTCGGGGTGATGGGATGCAGGTGGGGACCGGCCATTGTGCTGCTTGCCCATGCCTGGCACCCATAGGCCAAGGTGGCATTTCAGAGCCAGCTTGGGGCACTGCATGACCCTGTCTGCAGTCAAACAGAAACCACAGCCAATTGTTTGCACAGATCAGCTGCCCATGTCCATGACTCAGGCTTTTCTGTTACAGGTCTGAGTCAGCCAGGAGCCAAGACACAGATTTTTATGAATGGCGCCTGCTCGCCATCCTTGTTGCCAGCCCTGCCTTCCCCGATGGCCTTCTCTCTGCCGGTGGTTCCTGACTACAGGTGAGGACGACTGAGGCACCCACTGTCCGCTCACTGTGCTCTACTGTTCTCAGTGTAGAAACAAGTGGACGTGTGGGGTGATCGCCTCTTTCGTTTAGGTGCAATCACATTGTTACTCCATTTAAAGGAAATTATGAAAGTGTATGAAATCTGCACATGTGTGCACACATGAGTAGTGTAAAGAGAACTGTTTCCTGGGATTCTAGCTAGGTGGCCAGTGCAGACTTCAGTGTTCACTGTAACACACTCAGTGTTCAGGCATAGAGCTGTGTTTAGCAGTATGCGTGTGGACCATTGCACTCACCTCCTATAGTGTGACACACGCAAGGCCTGGTTCTTTCACCAACAACTGGCATTTTTCCACCCTTCAGCTCCTCCACATACCTGTTCCGCTTGATGGCAGTTGTCGTCCACCATGGAGACATGCACTCTGGACACTTTGTCACTTACAGACGGTCACCACCTTCAGCCAAGAACCCTCTCTCAACCAGCAACCAGTGGCTGTGGATTTCTGATGACACTGTCCGCAAGGCCAGCCTGCAGGAGGTCCTGTCTTCCAGCGCCTACCTGCTGTTCTATGAGCGAGTTCTGTCCAGGGCACAGCAGCAGGGGCGGGAGTACAGGGCTGAGGAGTGACAGGCCAGCCCAGAGCCAGGCCCATGATGAGGGCCACATCTGTGTTAAAAGAAGGCATGCCACGTGTCCACGTGCGAGCCAGCCCCTGCAGAGCCCCTCAGCCTTCTGTGTATTCTGAGAGTAGGCTCCACACGGGAACCAGTCTTCGCAGCGCTGCCAGGGTGTACCAGAAGGTGTCCTTGTGAGGACAGCATCCATTGTGTCTAGAGCATTTTACTCATCTGACACAGGTCATTAAAGAAACTGACTCCAGGAGCCACCCTTCCTATACTGTAATATGCTAGGTGTTCTCAGAGGGCATTGCCTTTGTTTGATCCCCTGACATTTCAGCATAGATCTTTATTTTTAATAAGGAGGCCCGTAAATATCATTGGCAAGACTTAGTGACATTATTAAAGGCAACAATTCAGAAGAACAAGTGCCTTTCCCTTCTGGTTGTTCTGAGAACAGGCATGACCTAAGATTCACAGGCACAATGTTGGGAAAGCCCTCGTCCTTCCAGGTTCCTTGGAGGTCAAAAGAACAACGTGGTGGCTCACGCCTGGAGTCCCAGCACTCAGATGCTGGGGCAGGAGGATCATTACAAGTTCCTGGCCAGCCTGAGCTACACATAAAACCTTGTCTCCTCCCAAAAGCCTCAAGACCACCTCCCCACCTTTGGGTCTGTCTTTTGTAATCTTCAGTTCTTTATGTGTAGTCACACCACTTGCCAGTCCAGCCTGGGGGAGAGGTGGTGTCTGCACCGCTGCTGTCGCCTCCGTGGAAGATGGCTAGCTTCCTGTTATCAGTTGCCTATAGTAGGGTTTACAGGCAAGAGTCTGGGCGGGGTGACCTGAGAGCTGAGCTGGGAGAGTGCACTGGCCCAGGGCCAGTCTCTCTGAACCTTGCTTTTTCAGTAGGGCCCACAGTGAGGAGGAAAGCGGTGTGGTGTTTGAACAGAACTGCAGCCAACACATCCTGCCGTTACATTCTAGGAGCGTATTCTAAGTGTGTGTGTCTTCAGTGACCTTGTTAAGCAAAGGGTACTCTGGGCATTTTCTTCCGTTTTCAGATAAGTTTCATGAATAGCCCAGGGATGGAGGATGTTGATGGCACAATAGTACTTATGTGTTAGCCAAGTTAGTAATTAAAAAAAAAAAAAGATACCAAACCAAATTCAGACTGACTCTTCCGATGTAAGATTTGGAACCAGACCTATCCAAAGGTAACTAAGGTAAGGCCAAGGATGTTTTCTCTGCAGGGGTAAGCTGCAGATGTTCCAGATGTGCCTAAGCATTGGCTTTGAGATCAGATCTCACTGTGCAGACTCCGAGACTGCTGTGCTGGCCTCCAGCCACAGTTCCCACAGGGGCGGCTGAACCATTTGTTCTGGCCCAGGTGGCCCTGTGGACAAGTGCTCAGTCCCTCGGTCACTTGTGATCTTAGAGGTCAGCTAGGGAAGAGAGATGACCAAAAGGACAACTGTGAGACGCTGGTCCCAGCCCAGGGTTTGGGCCAGGCTGTAAATGTGTGACCCTGGCGAGTGCTAATATACTTCCTCATTTTGTAAATTATTAGACATTAGGTAGCAACCAAGGATGATTTCTAGTTTTAAGTTATTCACAGTAGGTAGCTTCTTCCTGGAAAAACCTAAGTTAAGCTAGTACTTAGGCTGTAGGCCGCAGAGTGTGGATCTGCTAAAGGCACTTTTGTATCTGCTGTGTACTAAGCAATAAAGATGGTTTGTTAGGAAACACTCGAGTGGTGGGCTTTAGTCTTTTTAAACGGGTTGTGTAAAAGACCTACCTAGGCCCCGGCCTTCTGAGTGCCAGCATTAAATATGCGGCGCCACGCCAGACCTGTGGTATTTTATTGCGGATGTGACAGGGCGTCCTCCTCCTGCACTGGGTGCTGTGTACTGGGTAATGAGAATAAATCTTCTCTTCAAGCAAAAAGAGAAAATACAAGGTATTGATTATTAGAAATAGATTTTAGGGGCTGGACAGATGTCTCAGCAGGTAGGAGCACTTGCTGCCATTCCAGACTTAAGCTCAGGTACCGAGGCTCTTTCAAGACCTCAGTTTGGGGGCTGGAGAGGTGGCTCAGAGGTTAAGAGCATTGCCTGTTCTTCCAAAGGTCCTGAGTTCAATTCCCAGCAACCACATGGTGGCTCACAACCATCTGTAATGGGGTCTGGTGCCCTCTTCTGGCCTGCAGGCATACACACAGACAGAATATTGTATACATAATAAATAAATGAATAAATATTAAAAATAAATAAAGGCTTTATATTTTAAAAAAATAAAAAAAAAAGACCTGAGTTTGGTTCCCAGCACCTGTGTCAAGCAGCTCACAACCACCGGTAACTCCAGCACCAGGTGATCGCACACCTCCTTCTGGCATCCCTGGCACCTGCACACATGCGGCATGCACACATACAAATAAAAATAATAAATAGAAAATGTTTTATTTCTTAGTAGGTAAAATTTTCCGAAAAGTCAAGTTGACCCGAGGAGCTAGGACCTTCTTGCGGATGGGGAGACTGTGGTACCAGTGGGTATTGGTGGGGTGGTTCATCATCAGTAGGCTTCCATGGGCCAGCTGCAGCTTGACTACCTCCACTGTCTGCCGGGGTGTCTTTCCTCGAGAGTCTTTGTGCCGGAAGAGGAAGTCTCTGCAGGCCCCAAAGGAGACAGATGCAATGGGACTCCCAGGAGCCAGTTCTCTTTCATCATCTCTGTGTTCCCCGATGTGGTCGCAACCATCTTTGTACCTGTAGTGGGAAAACAACCACAGTGCTGAAGAAACCCTCTCCATCACCTGCTGATACTGCCGGTGCCTCATCCTAGCCCGAAGCAGCAGTGTGCTGTTTCTGTACACCTGCGAGACCAGAGAGCCCAGTCTGAATGTCTTTGCCAAGCAAGGTGTTTGAATGAGAAAGGCCCCCAGTTGGTGGAACTTTAGAGCCAATCAGGAGTAGGTGTGTCATTGTGGTTGGGCTTTGAAGTTTCAAAAGCTCACTCCAAGCCCAGTGTCTCTCTGCCCGCTGCTTGCAGATGAGAAGGTGAAGCTCTCGGCCCCTGCTCCAGGGCTATGGATGTGAAGCTCTCGGCCCCTGCTCCAGGGCTATGCATCTGCTTCCCACCATAATGACCGTGGACTAACTCTCTAAAACAGAAAGCAAGCCTCAGTAAATGTTTTCTTTTCTAAGAGTTGCTTTGCTTATGGTGTCTCCTCACAGCAAAAGAACACTGACTAGGACATTTAGCTACATCTTGTCATGCTTGCAGACCTCACACATGAGATCAAATAGCCACGTCTTCCAGTCACCAGGTTCATGTAGGGAAAACCTGCCCACCACACCCTGTGCAGTCTGGCCCTGCCCTTCATACTCTTTTCTCCCTGGTTCCTGATTTCCACTCCATGGACACCATGCATTCCTCTGTTCTACTCAAGATGTTAGTATCGCCAGCTCTCTAGCTAGTTCTGTGTCCCTCATGCCAGATGACTTCCCCTGGAGCCTGGCCGCTCTGTTCTCAGAATGCACTATTGGTTTCTGCGGTGGAAGCAGGGCCCTACTGGCGCTTTCAGGGCGGAGGCTAGGGATGTGCTGACTTCACCAGTGACCTCACCTAACCCTGCCTTCCTCCTACTCATGAGCTCCATCTCTCCAGTCCCAAAAGTCCTTAGCCCTTCCCCGGGGAGCAAACGTTACCTGTTAATGAGCACAAAGTTGAAGGTCTGCCCTGTCACCCCGAAGATCCGATCTCGAACACGCTCTAGAACTGGAATCCAGGGCTTTGGTGTCAGTGTAAGACCAGAGAAGGTATATGTCAGTCCAGCGTCTCCGTAGGTTGCCTGCTTCCTGGGAACGCTGTGCCACTTTCCAAATACTTGGACCTTGGCCAGTGCACCTGGGCAGATGAAATGGCAGCTCTGACCTCAAGGGATATAGACAGATGAGTCCTGTGCATCTTCTGGGTACTCACAAGGGAGGGAACTAGAAACGGCATTTCCTCTGCTCGTTGTGTTATAGAATGCCCTTTTGGGGATCTCTTCCCCGAAGGCACTGTGGCTTACTCTCATTCTCATGAAGGGGTATGGTGGCATACCCCTATAATCTCATCACTCTGGCGCTGATGTAGGCAGAGCACAAGTTCCAGGCAAGTGTGTCTCAAAAAAACCCAAAGGGTTGGAGAGGTGGCTCAGCTGGTAAAGTGCCTGTCACAAGGTGTGGCTGCATGTGCCTCAAATCCCACTGCTGGGGGCTCACTGGCCAGCTGGTCTAGCTGGAAGAGCAAGAAAAATGGGGGGGGGGGTAGGTGCCTAGCTGGGCATTGTACAACATGAGGGGCAGAAGGAATGCAGGGCTCTGGCTTTGTTGTGTGCACATACAAAACATGCGCACACACTAGCATTAAAATCAGTGGGCCGCAAAACCAAAGACATAAAAGCACAACAGAGGCTTCGGACGGACGGCTCTGCAGGAGTAGGGGTCAAAGACCGAGTAGTGTGTGAAAATAACCAAAATGCATCATACACATCCATGAAATTGTTGAAGAACTAAAAAATAAAAAACAAATCACAGATGACTTGGTCTATAAGCAGCTGAGGCCACCTTTCTCCTCTTTTTCTTTTTCTTTCTTTTCTTTTAATAAACTGTGGTGCACACACCTTTAATCCCAGCAGAGAGGCAGGAGGATCTCTGAGTTCAAGGCCATCCCGGTCTATAGAGTGAGTTTCTGGACAGCCAGGGCTACACAGTGAGATCCTGTCTCAATAAAAAAACAAAACACAACACTTTTATGTTTGCCCGCATATCTTTACAACCTGTATGTGTCTGGTCCCTCAAAGGCTGGAAGAGGGTATCCGAGTACCTAGGACTGGAGTTACAGAGGGCTGTGAGCTGCCATGTGGGTGCTGGGAATCAAACCTGGGTCCTCTGGGAGAACAGCTACTGATCTTAACTTCTGAGTCCTCTTTCAACTCCTCATATATTTATTTATGGCCTTTAAAGACAGGGAGGGTCTCGTGCATCCCAGGCTAGCTTTGAACTCTCCATTTAGCTGAGGATGACCTTGAACTCTGGATCTTCCTACCTCCACCTCCCAAGTTCTGAAGTTACAGGTCTGCACCAGCACCAGGTTTTAAAACTGTCATTCATTGCCTTAACTAAAGTCAGAACATAAAGAGACAGCTCTGAACATAATGGAACATGGATGGAAGGTTTTGTCAGCTGTGTGCTCATTACAGCTTCTCAATATGTAGTCTCCAGGCAACAGCATCAACACCACCTTCAGACTCTTCATACACTGAACTGGAAGGGTCAGGAAGCAGCAGAGTTCTGAGGGCGGCAGGCGTCCAGCTAAACCACACAGCCTTCCATGAGAAACTACCTGGCTATCTGCGGTCTCGCCTACTAGACAAGCACAACTTAGCTGCATATGAGTGTCTGTTCGTTTGACCATGCTGAGGTCTAACCTGGGGTTTTGTGAATAGAGAAGCACTGGACCACTGGCCTGGAAGACTGGTAAAAACGCTGATGCCTAGGCTGCATCTCCCGCTATTCTGATTCAGTATCACAAAGAACCTAGAAAGTTTTGGAGTTTATTTATTTTTTTAACTTCCCAGGTAATTTCGCTCTAGCCTGAGTTCACGCTTCTCCTAACAGAGGCACATTCTTTCATCACCTAAGCCTAACACCTAAAACCCTCCGCTTACCAGTAAAATACTCCACTTCTTGCTCCAACTCTCGGAAGATCTCGTCTGCTTCGGCTTTGCCAAACAGGATGGTGTAATCACAATTCAGACCTTGCGCGCGAAGGTGCTGCCAGCTGGGGCTCGACTGGCCGCCCGAGGCTCCTCCCGACGGGACTGGCTCCTCCCCTCCCCCTCGGAGGTCGCCCGAGTCGGGCCTCACCAGGAACCTGTCCATCCCGCCGCCCCTGCACAGCCGTGGAGGTGAGTGGCCACGCGAGCGGGGCCCCCCAGGCTCAGTGCTCCACCCGCGTGCCACAGACACGTCTACAAAGGAAACAGAGGGCATTAAAACTAGGAACTGCCTGGCGGTCCCTATCCAAGTGGTGAGCTTGCAAACCCCGCAGGCCTGCTCTCCTGTTTACGTTTTCGTAGCACAAGCTGACCTCCACAGTACAATCCTCCTGCCTCTGTTGCCAACTGCTGGGATCGGAGGCACAGTCCCAGGCCCCGCCCCCTTCGGAATTCGCCTGCTCGGGCTGCAAACGCTACATATGGGAAGAGGTGCCGAGCACGGGGTTCGCCCAGAGTCACCCAGAATAACAGGGTGTCTCTGGCCTGCGCCCAGGGGATGGGACTGACACAGGAGAGTAGCTCCACTGGAGAGACCCAGGGTATGAGGCTCCACGCGAAGGCTCTGCAACTCCAGACGCCCACATCCGCCTTTCCAGGCTGTGCGGGACTTCCGGCACAGCGCCACCTACCGGCCCCTCTGCGCACCGCAGGATGCTGCTTTTCCAGCAATCTGCAATGTTGAGGCCTGTCGACTGATTCTGGGGTCACCTTTGTGGGGATCCAAGAGCCTAGTGTTGTACAGGATACTGTCTCGTTGGTGTGTGTGTATGGAAACAATGGATAAACCTGAACATCTGACAAAGCCACAGCATTGTCTCCCCACCACAGTCACGATGGGAAGCAATTACACAATCCCATAAAATCCTCCCCAGGTACCAACTTAATGGTCTTGTCTATATAACCTATACCTGCTCTGTCGGCTGCTCCTGTTGCTTTTCCCAGAATTCCAAATAAATGGAATTATATGCTGTAACAGCCTTTTCTATTTGACTTCTGTTTGTAAGCTTTTAGATAAAACTACGCTGCTTTTTGTCTCTAGCATCAAGTACGGACATTATGTGTATATATTGTATAAACAAACACAGATGCCATTTGTACCAGTGTCCCCCTTTCATTGCTGGGTTAGTGTTCTGGTGTATGGATGAAGCACAATATAAAGACCGTGTGGCAGTCATTTCTGGCTCTAGGTGACACAGCAAAATCACTCTTCAGGCTCAGACTTTTTCTGTGAGTGATTTTACTTCACTTGAGAAAACGCCTAGGAGGGTTGTTGTGGGGTTGCGCGGCCAGAGGAAAAGTGTCTGCTGCCTGTTGGAGCACATGCGCTCCGTGATGGCGGCTCACTTCCTAAAAAGCACTTCCTGTCCCTAAAAGCACTTCCTGTCCTGAACTCTGGCACCCTCCAGCAAAACCAAGGTCCTGTGTCACGCACACTGTATTTTGGAGATGGAAACAGGAAAAGGGCAATGTAAGAAATAAGATTACTTTGTACAGTACGGAAGTTCTGAGCAGGGTGACAGGCTGGGGGGTTGGGCGGAAGACCTCCCAGGGGAGGGTCCTAAGCCGGGGCTGAAGCTTTGCTTTCGAGGTAGAGGACAAAGAGCATCGGATGTGAAGATCTCAGAGGCCCCGCTGGGAAGCAGCCTGGAGAACTGCTAGGGTGTCTAGAGTTAAGATTTGAAAGCTGTAGCCCAGGCTGGCCTCTAACAAACCAATATAGGCTTTAAGATTCTGATCCTCCTAACTCCACCTCCCAAATGCTGGGGTTACTGGGTGTACAGCCACTCAGCGGCATAGGAGGTTTTTCCTGGGCAGTAGTCAAGGTTTAATCTATACCTCAAAAGATCACTCAGTAGAAAAGAACAGCTGGGATTGTTCAAGTATAGATTTGGGGATAACTGAAAGATGTTTATGGTCTGAATGGGAGGAAATAAGTGGGTGAGATAAACGGAGCCAGGGGGTGTGTAGCTCGGTGGTCGAGTGGCTGCTCAGCATGCACGAAGGCCCAGAGTTCAAACCCAAGACTGAAAGGGAGTCTTGGTGGTGTAACGAGGACGGAGGAGACCCGAGAGAGACCTGTGCAGGAGGAGGCGGGGCCTCGCAAGCCCCACCTCGCCAGGGGCGGTGCCGCAGCCCCTCCCACACATGCGCGCTGGGCCCCACCGCCCCAGACCTGCCAGCTTCCCCGCCCCCGGCTCGAACTGGCGCAGTCGGCGGAGCGCCAACCGTGAGCACTGCTGCAAGTGTCCCGGAGCTCGGTCCCCGGTGCAGGCATGATCGGCCAGAAAACCCTCTACTCTTTCTTCTCCCCGACCCCTACCGGGAAGCAGAGCACGCGCAGCCCCGAGCCCACCCCGAAGGGAGACGTGGCTGCCGAGGACAGCGGCGATACGGTGAGGCGTGCGGGGCAGTGCGGGACTCGGGGAGAGGCGGCGGGGTTCCGGCCAGGAGCACCGTGCTCGCCGCTGCTCGGCCAGACCCGGCCTCCTTACGGGTTCAAAACAGCCGCGCGCGTCGGCGGCCGCCATGCCGAGACGCCAACCAATGGGGATGGGGCTCGGCCTCCGCCGAGCCAATCGGCGTGAAGATTCCCTCCCCTCCCTTCATGGGGTCCAATCACAGGCGGCAGGGGGCGGGCGCGGTTTTGCCGCGAAAAGGCCGCGTGGGCCGTAGGCGCGTAGGCGGGCGGGGCGCTGCGGCGGCTCAGCCCGGGTCTTCTCGGCCCAGGTCGGCTCGGCCATGGGCGTCTTCGGGCGGCGACCTTTGGGGTTGGCGCGGGGGCTGCGGGGGGCCAGGGCGCGAAGTCTTACTTCCCACCCCGACTCCTGGCAGGCCAGCCCCGCCAAGAAGGCCCGGGTCGGGCAGGACGAGCCGGCCACGCCGCCCTCGTCGCCGCTCAGCGAGGAGCAGCTCGTCCGCATCCAGAGGAACAAGGCCGCGGCCCTGCTCAGGCTCGCCGCTCGCAACGTGCCCGCCGGCTTCGGCGAGAGCTGGAAGCAGCACCTGAGCGGAGAGTTCAGGAAGCCGTACTTCATCAAGGTCGGTGGGCGCGCGGGTGCAGCCTGCGTTTGCGGGCGGCTGTCTTTCGGCCTCCTAGTATTTGGGTTAAAGCAAGGGCTGGGAGGTGGTTTTCTGGCTGGTATTCCTATGGAGAGGAGGGCTATGCAGGACAATTTGAGGAGGCTCCTTTTCACGTGCATCTGGGATTGAACTCCGGTTGGCGCGCTTGGCGCCAGCTGCCCTCGTGGGTAAACCCTCAACCAGACTGAGTGAAATGACCTTTAGCCTTTTTTTAAAACAGGGAAAGAAGGTTTAAGGTCTCGGACTATAATCCCAACTCGAGAGCTGTAGCCTAGAGGGTCAGAAGCTGCCAACGGGGGGGGGGGGGCAGACTCTGGGCTCCAAAAGACGTTTTAAGGGGTGGCAAAGAGTCGGGGTCACTGAAATAAAAGTAGCTTAGTGAATCAACCTTAATCCAGCCCAGGGTAAAAAAAAAAAAATGGGGTTTAAATCATACAAAGAACCAAACGAGGCTTCAAACACATTTTATACAAAGGTTTTTAAGCCTACTTTTTATGGTTTCCTGTGAGAATCTGCTTTTAAGTCTGGTTTGTCTTTGAAATCAGCTAATGGGCTTTGTTGCTGAAGAGAGAAAACATCACAAGGTCTATCCGCCTCCGGAGCAGGTGTTCACGTGGACCCAGATGTGTGACATCCGAGATGTAAGTGAGACTGGGGTCTGTGTAGGGAAGCGTCAAATAGTGTTTCCTAATTTTAGACCGTGATTTGGGACTAAGTGACCCTGAAACGTGAGGCTCGGTTGTGTTGCGGGAGCAGAGCTGAGCTGAGCCACGGCACTCAGCCACTGGACGGAGCTCCAGCTGTTTATTCATTTAACCATATTCTATTCCAAAACAACAGGAAACGTATATGTACACATTTGCTTGCATGCTCACTTTTTTCTCTTAAATTCTTTGATAACAAAAAAATTTATAAGAAAGAACCTTGTTACCCCAAGGTTATTTCAGTCTCTTGATCATAGGCAGTGGGAACAGAGAAGTGAGGGTCTTTCCGTTCATATTATGTGCGATGTGGGGAAAATGCAAAGAAGTTAACACATACTCATAATCTCAGCACTTGGGGTTGGAGGCTAGCCTGGGCTACTTGAGACCCTGACTCAACAAAATAAAAGGCAAAAGCAAGTGCTGTTGTATCTGTACCGAGGTAGGAAGAATAGCCTGGGGTGCTTGTTTCAGGTAGCGTGCCTGCGCTACTCTGAATGACCGTCTGGTTGGATGGCTCCTGGTAACTCCACTCTCCTGGCTTCCTCAGCCAGCCTTTCTCAGACTGGTAAGGAGTAGAGCAAGTGAGCAGATACTCAGAGTTGAATAGTCCTGAGTGTCCTCAGCCTGCTCAGGTGCAGACCGTTGTTGAGTGTGGACCCTGAAGCCATGGTTTGCTTGAGCAAACTCTTGGGTGTGTGGATTTGTGTAGAGACTGCTTTGCCTCCTGCTTAGAGGGTCATACCCCCGGGAACTCTAGCATTGTCTGTCATAGCCTTTGCCACTGGCTGTGCTGGGGTCTGAACCAGGATTTCTCAAGGCTGTGCAACTGGACCTATTTCATTCTGACGGTGATCTGAGTTACCCATACTGGCTTTGAACTTACTTAGGCCGACCTTCAATTTCTGGTTTATTTTTGTTTTTTCTGTTGTCTTTGATTCTTGCAGTGCTGGGGAGTCGAGCTCATAGTGTCAGTATTGTGCCTTACCATTGAGCCATGGCCTTAATTTTTTTAAGATTTATTTATTAATTATGTATATAACATTCTGTTTGCATGTGCTTTCTGGTTCAGAAGAGGGCACCAGATCTACTACAGATGGTAATTAGCCATCATGTAGTTGCTAGGAATTGAACTCAGAACCTCTGGAAGAACAGTCATTGCTCTTAACCTCTGAGCCATCTCTCCAGACCACCCAGCCTTAAATTTTGATGCACTACCACAGCCTCTCAGCCGGAATTGTAGTCTGAGTGCTTGGTTCTTAGCATTTTGAACGTTGATTCATTTTCTTGGACTGTCGTTCTCAAGAGCTTTGGTGTACGGCATCCTTCCTTTCTCTTTTTTAAATGCTTCTTGTTTTATGTGCATTGGTGTTTCCCTGCATGTGTATCTGTGTGAGTGTCAGATCCCTGGAACTGGAGTTGTAGCCAGGTCTGAGCCGTCACATGGGTGCTGGGATAGAGCCCGGGTCCTCTACAGCAGCTGCTTTCTCTTCCAGAGGGTAACTTAAAGGAGTCTTGTTCCCTCCACCATTAGGTTCTGATTGAACTCGGGACATTGGGTTTGTAGTCAAGTAGCTTTACCTACTGAAGCATCTCAGCCCCGTATTTTTTTATTTTTGATGAACACGTATTGATTGTACGTGCTTTGCAGGTATGGTGACATTGCACAGCTGTCACCCCGGACATTTATCTTTACTTGTTTTCCTTTTTTCTAATAAAGGCTTTTACATTTTTTTGTACACTTTTGCCTGAATGTGTATGTCTGCAGCACATGTATGCAGACCCTTTGGGAGGCCAGAAGAGGGCCATGTGGATGCTGGGAAATGAACCTAGGTCTTCTGCAAGAGCAGCCAGTGCTTGCTCTTGACCATCTCCAGCCCTCATCTTTGCTTTGTTTTGGAAACATTCCAGTTCTTGCTCCTATTTAATTGTTGTCAACTGAGGTTACTATAGTGTGCTGTAGATCATTAGAAGTTGTTTCTCCTTGCTGGGTGGTGATGGTGCACACCTTAATTCCTGCACTTGGAGGCAAAGGCGGTCAGTGAGTTTGAGAGCTGCCTGAACAGAGTGAGTTCCAGGACTGTCAGCTGCACAGGGAAAGAAACCCACCTGGAAAAAACAAAAGGGCCCCGGCCCCACCCCATCCCTCCCAGCTTCCGCTAGTCATTGTTCTCCAGGAAAGTGAACTTCCTCTGTTGGAGTTGGTCTGAAGGCCTGGGTGGCACATGGAGGCTCTTCACTGATTGCCTGCCTTTACCATGTCTTCCGTGTCACTTCAGTGTGTGCCGTGGCTGCATGACTGTGCGCCCCAGCCTTGCCTCTGCCTGTCACTGGTTTTAGGGTTAGTAAATGCCTTGTTGTCCCAGGAGCTGTAAAGTAGATGGTGAGGCCATTGGGCTGCAGCCGTGCCTTACCGTCAGGAAGACCCCTGGGTCCTCTCAGCCTCTGCTGGGGACTTCTGTGGGGAACACACAGGCTCAGGGAAACCAAGTGCTCTGTCCACAGTTGTCCTTGCCCCATCCCCAGAGTCCTAAAACAGGAAAGTTCTGTGTGCCCAGGTTCTTCATGGAGAATGCTGTCTGGCACTGAGGCAGGCACAGAGCTGCACAGTGGGAATCAAAGCCTGCAGCTGAATTCTAAGGGAACAGAGGTGTTGACCATGGAGGAAATGCTGGAAGGACAGGGAAGCAGAAGAGTGAAGACAAGACGGGGTCTGTGTCCACACCTGAGAAAGGCATCAGCCTTCATGGCTAGCCAGCTACTCCAGCGCTTGTTACCTGGCCTCGTTCTCAGCGTGTTGCCCATTCAGTCCTGTGGTCATCGGCTGTGGGGAGGGATCTGGGTGCCTGTCTGTGAAGCTCCAGTTGGGTCTTCCTTTGCCCAGCCCAGCAGTGTTTTCCCATAAGGAGAGCAGGCTGACCGCCTGGGAAAGCCAGCACAGTAGGTGGTAGCAGGCCAGGAGTGTCTGGCCTTTTAACATTGTCATCCACAAAGGTGGTGGTCTGTGTGCTACAGGGACTTCCATGGGTACTGAGAAGTGCTTAGCTTGCAGTGACCACCTCCCCTTACCCCCATGCGGTGCTAACGTGTGATGGGCGAGGATGGTCCCTCCTCCGTATGTTTTCTGAGTGGTTCCATGCGTTACCAAGTTTTGTCGTGTGAGAAGTGAAGAGAAACCTAAGTGGGCCATTACATCGAGGCCACTGAGTGAAGGATGGGGTGTTAATGGGGCTGCAAGCAAGCATGTGGTGGGTTGTTCCTTTTGGGGTCCTCAGTTGGTCCTTTAGTGGGGCTCCACTGTTCATTGTGGTGTCCTGTGTGTCCACCATGTGTTGCTCTTTACTGAACCTGGTATTGTCTGATACTTGGGTTTACAGGTGAAGGTTGTCATTCTGGGACAGGATCCTTATCACGGCCCTAATCAAGCTCACGGGCTCTGCTTCAGTGTGCAAAGACCAGTTCCACCTCCACCCAGGTACATCATAGTGCAGCTGGCATCAGTCAGGTCATGGGCGGTATGATTGGGATGGCTGGGTCATTGAGGATTGGCACTGCTGGTGGAGGGTGCATATACCAAGAACTAGAAGGTGGGTTGTGACTGCCCTACTCAGTTCTTCCACGGTGCTGTAGTAGGTGCTAGTCGGTTGTGGGTGTCTGTCTCTTCCCATGCCATCCTGGCTTTTTGTTTCTAACCTTTTCGTGCCCACTGTGGAGACTTGTATTTTCAAACTGTTGGGGATTCTGGTTGATTGTGCTTTTCTCTGCCTTGGTTTCAGTTTGGAAAACATTTTTAAAGAGCTGTCTACAGACATCGATGGTTTTGTTCATCCTGGCCATGGGGATTTGTCAGGGTGGGCCAGACAAGGTAACCAATGCCAGTAGCCTGCTCTTGTGCTTCTTGTCCATCCTCTGTCCCTGTATGCCTGGGTGTGTAGGTGTGTGTAGGTGTGTGTGCTTGAGTGCTAATGTTGGTGGAGGCAGAGGCACTGTGTTCCCTGGAGCTGCCCACCATGGGGCTAAATTCAGGTCCTCTGTGAGGGTCGGTATGCTCTTAACTGCTGAGTTGTCTCCATTCCCATTGCTGTGTTTTCAAAAGTCGCCCATCCTGTAACAAGGACTCTAAGATCCTAGAGCCTTTTTACCCTGTGTTGTCCTTAGCTACTCTTTTTCTTCTTTTTCGATGTGCATTGGTGTTTTGCCATGGATGTCAGGTTCCTTGGAACTAGAATTAACAGACAGTTGTGAACTGCCATGTGGATGCTGGGACTTGAACCCTGGTCCTCTGGAAGAGCAGTCATTGCTCTTAACCACTGAGCCATCTCTGCAGCCCCTCCTCAGCCACTCTTAGCCATTGTAGTTTTAGTTCCAACACACTTGCTCCTGGCAGTTTGTTCTTGGCTCCTAACAGTTTGATTTTGTTGCCATCAACTATTTTGGGCCCATTTTCTTTTTTGGTTCTTTAATATTACTTAGCATATGAATTTCTGAACACTTTGTTTTTTGTTTACTACCCAAAACTGGGAGGTGCTAAGGGGGCAGATATGAAACAAAGAGTCCTGAATCTGGCTCAGAGGTCACTGCTGGTCGTGTTGTAACTTTCTTTATGGCCCAATTTCACTTCTTCCCTGGGTCTGTTGTGAGTGGCTTGGTCGGTGCAGCCTCTGTAGAGCTCGTTTGTGCGGCCCTAACCCTCTCCACCCTGTTCACAGGTGTCCTCCTCCTCAACGCTGTCCTCACTGTCCGCGCCCACCAGGCCAATTCCCATAAGGAGAGAGGCTGGGAGCAGTTCACTGATGCAGTTGTGTCCTGGCTAAACCAGAACCTGACTGGCCTTGTCTTCCTGCTCTGGGGCTCCTATGCTCAGAAGAAGGGCAGTGCCATCGATAGGGTATGTGTCTTCTAACCGCTTCACAGAGAGCCAGGGAGCCTCGGGTGCCTTGAGTGCACAGCCGTGAGACACTGTTTTAAATCTATTATAATTAGAATCAGGTTCCCACTGACAGTTAGGGATATAATATAATAGAAGCATTAACCTGCCCTGTGATAAGTACACCATGGTCCCTGGCACCCTGTTTACATGTGATGTAGTACTTGATGAATAAGGCGGGTGTCCTGCTTCCGAGAAACTTGGGGCCGTACAGAAAACAGGCCTTCCACTGAATCAGACAGATGTACTCGCAAATGCCCTAGGCAGTGAGCACTTGAGCTGGGGTGCTGCTTGTGAGTGCCCAGCAGCACCAGAGCGCTTGCATCTTCTCCCTGTCACCAAGACACGGAAACAAGAACCTGAGGCAGCGTCTTCCTTGAGCCCTCTTACCCATCTTACCAGTGAATCCTGTCTTACCAGTGAGTCTAGTCACCTGTGTCCCTAAAATGTCCCAATACTGCTTTGCGTTGCCTCCTGGGCTGAACGCCACTATTTCTGTAGTAATGGCTGCAGGTGGGTGTAGACAGTGGGGCAGAAGTGGGGAGAGGGGGCCAGAAGAAGCTTACTAGGGCCTCTGGGAGCAGCTGCGTCCAAACCGCAGTGAGACTGAACCTGGTATGTGTCAAATCTCAGAATGACTTTGAGGGTAGGGACACAGTCACTCCGTGTTAAGGAGCTAGACAGTCTCAAATGGAAAGAAACCTCAGCACTTAATCACACTTAACTACTCTTACAGAGAGGACCAAGGTTCTGTTTCCAGCCTTAAAGCAACTCAGCTGCCTAGGGGACAGGGGTGGGTGAACTTAGAATCGCTGCTGCTTCATAGCAAATGTCACCTGACCATGGTCAGAGCAAGAATAACTGGGTAGTAAGTGTGGCCACTTACTGTCATTGCAGATGTTGCCCTATGCCTCTGAGCCCGGCAAAGCTGAGCCTCAAGTTTGTGAGTGCTAGGGCTGAACACACTGCAAGAAGGTGGGCGGGGCAGAGCGTGCACAGTCTAGAGGGACAAGGTGCCTGCTGCTACACTCAACTCTGTTCTTTTTCAGAAGCGTCACCATGTCCTGCAGACAGCCCATCCCTCCCCACTGTCGGTGTACAGGGGATTCTTTGGATGTAGGCATTTTTCTAAAGCCAATGAACTGCTCCAGAAGTCTGGCAAGAGGCCCATCAACTGGAAGGAGCTGTGATCTGCAGTGCGGGCCACCTGTCTCCAATAGTGGCTCTGGGATGCTGCCACTGAAGCATTGACCAGTTTAGAAGTCACTGAAAATGTCCCTGCTGTTAAGTTTCTGTTTGTGAGGACAATGGAAAGATCTCTGTAAAGCAGTCACGTGCCAGCCAGGCTGCAGAAACCACAACTTTAGCAACCAGACCCCGATTGCCACTTGGTTGAAACTCTATGGGCTAGTCAGGGTGGCTTCTCATGGTCCAGTCACATACTCGGCCCTCTGGGCTATATTGGCTTGCGGGAGAGATTTGTACCTTTTGATCAGCTAAAATTTTGGCACCTACTGCTGTTTACTTTTGCCTTTAGACTAGAGGTTTCAAGGTGTTCTGGCTCTAAAGGGTGTTTTGTGATCTTAAGAAATGAGGCTAGAAATTGAGACTGTTCCCAATTACAAAGGGAGCAAGTGTGTGTTTTCCTGGGCTCAGGAGTGGCTGTTGCCCATCCTGCTGCTTGTCTAGATTTTTGCCTTAAGCAAGTGGTAAGTTGAGCAAAGCAGAAGACAGGTTTGTTTTTGTTTTAAATGGGGGGGGGAGTTCTTCTCCTGGCTTTGGGGTTGGGGTTCCCCACAGCAGATGGCCGGATGCTGGTTTGTGTAAAGAGCTGGGGATCCAGCCCTAGGGTCCTGGTTTTTATGGACTGAATTCACGCAGATTATGTTTTTCTGCAACACTGCAGGATATTGTCTTTTATAAGATGGGCAAGTACATCTATTTTTTTCAATTCTTTTTTGAGAGACAATCTACTAAGTTTATACCTCACCCTGGATTCAGTAGATCGAGCTGGTTAGAGAAGTGACCCTGCATGGGCAGGATAATAAAGACTGTTGAGTTTGGATTTGTGCTGACTGTTCCTTAGCATTTATTTGCAGGTACCCTGTGCTGCTTTTGTCACCATAGCAACCACTGATTGCAGGAAGAGCAGCCCTTTGTCCTTATGGCCTATGTGTAGCTCTCCACGGGGCCACCCACTGCCAGCCTGTAGCAGTATACTGCTGCTGTGGGCAGGTTGGCCGGGGTAGAGGTCTGCTGGGACCCCAAAGACAGTTTTCAGCGGGGAAGCAAGCCTTTGGGGATTCTGGCTGAGTTCTGATCTGTTCTTGGGAATATGAGGTTCGGGTGTGACTGACCCCATTGGCCCAAGTGGCTGTCAGGCGGGCCTTCTAAATGAAGGTGGGATTCACTGGTGTTGAGGAAGGAAGCAAAATGAATCAAGGAACAGGGTGCAGCTTGGTTCCCATGGGTGCACACAGCCGGCTCCAAGTTGCAGAGTGGCTGTATGTAGGCCCAGGAAGAAACGGTGCTTCCTTCCTGGCCTCGTCTACAGAAGGTGGCTCGTAAGATTCTGTGTTCCGGGTCAACAAATAGGCTCCTTGAGGAGGAAGATGCCTGAGTTTGCCTACTGGGGTCTTCAGGGACACCCCAAAGCCATGTGGTGAACTCCCTTGCTCAAAGGCAAAGTGAGAAGCCCATCTCTGCCAGCTAGGGTGACACTGTGCAGGTCTGTAAGAGGGGAGCCATCTTAAAAGCAACAAGGAGCAGACAGCCATTGATTGGTGGCACACACCTTTGATGAGCAGAAGCAGGTAGATATCTCTGGCCTAGGATAGCCAGGGCTACACAGAGAAACCCTGTCTTAAAAAATCAAGAGAGGCTGGAGAGGTGGCTCAGTAGTAAAGAGCACTGGCTGTCCTTGCAGGAGGACCTGAATTTATAACTCCAGCCACACACGTGCACAGATAGGCATGCAGGTTAAACACTCAGCCTTAGGGTCACTGTGCTGTGATAAAATACTAGAAGCACCTTGGGGAAGAAAAGGTTTGCTTCATCTTACACTTCCAGGGAAAAGGACAAGAATGTGGATGCAGGAACTGATGAGAGGCCACAAGGGAATACTGCTTAGTACCTTGCTCAGCTTTATAGCCTCCAGGTCCACAAGCCCAGGGGAGCCACCACACACAATGCTGAACTGGGCCTCCTGCATCAGTCATTAGGAAAATGCACAACACTAGCTAGGCGGTGGTGGCACTCGCCTTTGGTCCCAGCACGCCAGAGCTGGCATATCTCTTGAGTTTGAGGCCAGCCTGGTCTACAGAGCTAGTTCCAGTACAGCTAGGGCTACACAGAGACACCCCGTCTCAACCAAGTTGAAGTTGCTATGACACATACCAGTGGTTCTCAACATGTGGATTGTCACCCCTTTAGGGATCAAACAACCCTTTCACAGGTTGCATCAGATATTTTCAATTTTTTTTGTTGTTTTTGAGACTGGGTTCTCTGTAACTTTGCAGCCTGTCCCAGAACTCACTTTGTAGACCAGGTTGGCCTCAAACTCGAAGAGATCCACCTGCCTCTGCCTCCCAAGTGCTGGGATTAAAGGTGTGCACCACCACCTGGCAGGTATTCACAACAGTAGCAGCGAGCATAATTCTATGGTTGGAGTCTCCACAACATGAACTATATTAAAGGGTCAGAGCATCAGGAAGGTTGAGAACCACTAGCTTAGACTGAGTTAGGAAGATCTGGAGTTGGATACCAGCCTGGACTTCATAGCAGTGCTCTCTCAACAGTAAAAGACGAATAATGGCAAATAGATGTGGAAATGTAATAGAACATTCTGAAAGGTGAAGTGATAGAGTTTGCTCTATAGCCCACACTGGCCTTGAACTCACGGCAATCCTTGCCTCAGCTTCCCAAGTTCAGGAATAAAGGTGTGGCCATCATGCCTGAGCATCTTAAAGGATGTATGACCCTCCCAACTCCGCCCCCTGGAAAGACACAAGTTAATCGTATACAAGTAGTTTTGGGGGGATTCCACATTGCAGGTGTGTTCTTCCGTACTGTACAAAAATGAACAGAGGGGGCTGGAGAGATGGCTCAGAGGTTAAGAGCATTGCCTGCTCTTCCAAAGGTCCTGAGTTCAGTTCCCAGCAACCACATGGTGGCTCACAACCATCTGTAATGGGGTCTGGTGCCCTCTTCTGGCCTGCAGGCATATGCACAGACAGAATGTTGTATACATAATAAAATAAATATTTTTAAAAAATGAACAGAATGGGGTGGGCAGGGTAGGTTTAAATGTTTACGTTTGCAGGAACGACTAGGGTCTTGGGAGAAACAGCCAAGGACACAGTATGTAAGGGCGTGCGGGTGAGGCTGTGTAGATGGTGGCATCAATTTCATCTGGCTTCGGTGTCCATCCAGTAGCTTCCCCTCAACATGTTAGTGTAGACACTGTCTGCCTATAACAGCTCGCTGACCCTCGTATGGGGATGAAAAGTCCAAGAAAACGATCCCTTAATGCTGGTCCAGCTGGGGATAGAAGGACGATTCCCTGGCCAGTCAGGAAGAATTATATGCATGTAAATCAGTCTACACAGCCAGATAGCAGAGGCCCCTCTGTGCGGCACAGTGTAGGAGGCCTGAGAAGACCTGCCTAAAAAAAATGGTTACTGTCACCTCCCTCTGGGGCTAGGAAGTCAGTTATGCAAATGTCATCCTGGGAACCCCAAGTTATAAACTAATTGTGTGAAAGTTCATTCCCTGGTTTTGGCCCAAGCCCAGCAGGACAAAGTTGAGTTCTCCGCTCTGAATGCCAGGTCCTCTTCAGTCCTCTCCTGGAATAGTCTCAGGCTTCAGTGGAGAAGCATGTATGGGTATGTATGTGATACTAGCAGCTTTTCAGCCTTCCAAAACTTTATGATGGATGGGGGTAACCGAGAGACACTTGAGTTGGCCCAAGTCAACCTGAGGACACCCACCCCACCCCACCCCCTTCCCGATCAAGCTGAGCAAAGACTGGAAGGTTCGCTGGAGATGGCTCTGTAGATTGAACTCACGTGAGCCTGTTAACAAAGCTGGATAATCTTGTCAGTCAACCCCTGCCTAGATCATAATTGCAAGGTCACTGGGAGAGAAGGGAAGAGTGGCTGGGGAGAGCACCTGGGCCCTTGGAAACCGCACAGCAGGAGCTGTGTACTCAGCCGGAAAAGGAAATATATTTGGTGGGCTTGTCCAAAATGCCTTAAGTCACTCAGCTCTCCAGGAGAAGCACTTTCCAGGGAACCTCTTTGGGGATCATGTGAGCTCCGCTAATGGTTTGGGAATGAGGCTAGGCTACCGCGCTACCCCTGGGCTTCACTCTCTATTCCCAGCTGTGTGCTTGAGTGCAGGTCTACACTGCAGCCAAGAGGACAAGAGGACAAGTTTGCTTCCTACCCCAAAGCCTGTTGGAGAATCCCCACCCCCAGAAAACAACTGGAAAATAAGCCCATAAGTGAAGTAGCCCAGGCAGGGTAGCAGGTGACCCAGGAGTGGCCAGAACCCCCTGTACTGACTCCGTGCTCCTCATTGGCTTCACAGCATAGCACAGCCATGGCTAGCACAGCCATGGGGACAGAATTCGAAACCCTATACTATTGTCCCCCCTTCGTCTGAGCACAGTGCTGCCAAGTGGCTTCTGCTCACTTGTCTGCTGCCAGTTCCAGCTGGGACCTGGAGGTGACCTTTGGCCCACAGGTCCCAGAACACCCTGTGACTGCAGCAGGGGCTGGCTTCCTCTGTTCTGCTCAGCCCTCCCCCGAACCAGCCAATTCCGAATAAGGCAGCCTTGTTTTTTAATCCTCACGTCCCCAAAAAAATTAGGAATATTTTATGAGCAGGACACGATTGCAGAGGGTCCCCTAAAACTGTGTTGGGTAGGGCTGCCAGACCATCTCTGGGTGTCTTTCCCTCGCTCGCTCACCGCTCACTGTGTGTGGACTCACTTCTGTCACAGGCCAGAGTCACCTCCCCCTTTGCTTCTGACACTTTGGGCTTTAGCTGGCTCTTGTTTAAGTCCCTAGGAATTTGGAAGTAAAGTGAGCTGTGGGGTTGAGGGGTGGACCAGTTCCCAGGGAGTGCAGCTCCAGGCAGGGCTGCAGTTTCATTTTCCTCCCTGCATGGGTCAGCCTGGCCATTCAGGGCCTTGAAGGTTAAATGCTCTGGGGGATATTTTTAAACAGTAGGGGTTGGTTAATCTAAAAGTGACATTTACAGACACAGCGGTGAGGTGCCAGCAGCTTAGATCCTGGCCTCAGCCAACAAGGAGCTTGAAAACCGTCTCTGTGAATTCACAGCTGGGAAGCTATGGGGAAAGCAAGGCCAAGTAAGTGAGCCCTCCCCTCCCCGGGGTCACAGACCTCAAAGCCAGTCAGCCTCCAAGGGAAGGTGTGTGTGGTATGCGCGTGCACAGTGTAGTGTTGGCCCCAGACAAAAGCAACCACTTGGGGTTTAGGGGACACTGAGGGAGCTGGTGAACAGTTTGTTTTTTTTTTTTTTTTGGTTTTTCGAGACAGGGTTTCTCTGTGGTTTTGGAGCCTGTCCTGGAACTAGCTCTTGTAGACCAGGCTGGTCTCGAACTCACAGAGATCCGTCTGCCTCTGCCTCCCAAGTGCTGGGATTAAAGGCGTGCGCCACCGCCGCCCGGCCAGTTTGTTATAAGGGTTCTATACTTTCATGCAGTACATGCCTCTTTCCCATGCTACTGCGTTACAATTATTTTACAATATAAATGGCCTTACATATAGGTGGGTGGTCATCTCAACTGCTCCAGGACAGGGTGATTCCTGAAACTTAGCATCGTCTTTTGTTGTGTCTTTGGTTGGTATTTGTTTTTCCAGGACGTCCTGGAACTTGCTGAGTCATCCAGACTGGCCTGGAACTCACTGCAGCCCCCCTGCTTCTCCAGTCTTCAGTGGAGTCCTAAGTGCAGGCCTGGCACCTGCTTTGTCCGTGACTTCCACCAGAAGCCCTGGGAAGGCGTTGTGGGTGTGTTTATCCCTATGTAGGAGCTGCACA